TGATTGATTTATGAATGGACTATAAAGTTTTTCTGTGATATGTTACAAAGAAATTCATATTCCTTGTTTCCAACCTCTCAATTCTATGATAATTCTTTAACCCAATTACGTCAATTTTGTCATGGCAATGCACAGAGGCCTAAGGCTCTGATTTTATAATATGTTTTTGGCTTTCAAGTTTATTGTCTTTCATGTCCCACACAGCTCATGATAAAATGTGAATTTCATACGGTTTTTCAAGGCACTTTTTAATATTTTTTTTTTTTTTTTTCTTTTACAATTGATAGAAGAGAATTAGGATAAAATTTTGTGTTTCAACTATAAAATTTTGTTACTGCATTTTCTTGTTTTCTTTCACGGTAATTTTTTTTTTTTCTACTCCACAATGTAAAACAACCTACTTAGCAGATATTTATCTATTCTGCTGGCTGCATCCTGTTCCACTCACTTTGCAGGTTTAATTTTGTAAAATACATTTAGGGACTGAACTATTGAGTTTACTTATTTGCTGATTTGTGTTTACATTATTATGTTGAATTGTGTTTTTAGTTTCTATTATCCCACTCCAAAATATTTACTTCTTTCAATTTTCAATTAAGAAAAAAATAATCATATATAGTTCTAGACTTCTAGTAAGAATTCCCCTGACAAAGATCCTGACTCTGCCCTGGTTTCAAATTTTAGTCCATCAAATTTGTGCAAAATCAGCTAAACATTTGTCATAACAATTTCTTTTTGTGCACTGCAACAGTTATATACAGTGGCTGGACCAGACTCAACCGATGAAATCAAGTCTGCGGTTGCAATAACATACTGGCTACCATCAGGACTCCACAAGGTGCTTCCAACCCATGTTCAACCAAACCTAACCAAAATCAGACTGTCAGGCCATAGTTGTGGAGGCAAGGCCGCTTTCGCGCTAGCTCTTGGCAAAGTAACAACTCCATCCTTAAAATTTTCAGCCCTAATAGGCATAGACCCTGTTGATGGCATGGACAAAGGGATACACCCCCACCAGTCCTCACTTACATACCTCATTCCTTTGATCTCGACATGGCGGTTTTAGAGATTGGCTCAGGTTTAGGTGAAGTGAAAAAGAACCCTTTGTTCCCTCCTTGTGCTCCTAAGGGAATCAACCATGAAGATTTTTACAAGGAATGTTGTGAACTGGCTTGTTATTTTGTTGCTAAGGACTATGGTCATGTTGACATGTTAGATGATGAGACAAAGGGGATAAGAGGGAAGACAAGTTATTATTTGTGTAAAATGGCAAGTCTAGAGAGCCCATGAGGAGGTTTGTTGGAGGGGTTATGGTTGCTTTCATGAAAGCTTATTTAGAAGGTGATTCAAGCTGCTTGGTGGGTATTAGATTTGGGCATGAAGTGGCACCTGTGGAGTTTCAAAAATTTGATTTTCTTTAGTGAAATTATATAGCACTTTGACAGTAAGCAGAGAAAAATTGTTATACTCGGAGCTTGGAGATGGAGATCTTGCTAGTTTGTCGATGAAACTTGATGGGAAGAAGTTGGGCTGCAGGGGACTATATCACACTCATTTTCTCTGCTTCTTGTTATACTTGTAGCTTTCAAGGGTTAAATATGGTTTTGAAAGTATGCATGTTATTTTGATCCTCTATGTTTTGATTGTATTAGTCCCAAACTTATTCAAAATAAAACTTCACTGGTAAATAGAAATAGAACTGAGCACAAACTTTGGAGAACAATAGCTTTCAATGGTGAATAGAATTTGTGATTACTTTATAATGTGTATGGTGAATTTACACTACCAAGCATTAAATTCTCATGTATTATGTATTTGGGGATTCAAATGTCTCAAAATGCCAGTGCAATACGTTCACGTGGTGTTCTTAGACTAATAAGAGCAGTAGTCACAAGATGAGTGGAGCTGACTTAAGTCATCTTAATCGGTTCAGTGAAAGACAATGTCAGTTCAATTCATTTCCTCTTATACATTCTCATTGAATAGACTAATAAGAGCAGTAGTCACTAGATGAGTGGAGCTGACTTAAGTCATCTTAATCGGTTCAGTGAAAGACAATGTCAGTTCAATTCATTTCCTCTTATACATTCTCATTGAATAGACTAATAAGAGCAGTAGTCACAAGATGGGTGGAGCCGACTAACTCATCTTAATCAGTTGAGTGGAAGATAAGGTCAATACTATTCATTTCCTCTTATAAATTCTCATTGAATAGGAACACCACGTGCACATGCTACGATGATAATTTTGAACTATTGAATAATTTGATTTTTGAGGGGCATTTGTTCTGTTTTCCAGTTTCTAGTTGTTGCAAAATTGGATTGATGATCAAAGAAGCTTTGTTATCTCTTGTGAATTGGTTTAGAATATTCAAGAGGGGAAGAAAAAAAAAATTTGTCGCTATTAGTCTGTCAAGATATTTGAAAATTAATTATCACACCTCTTTTGTCTGAAAGCCGAGCAAAAAATTTAATTTAATCTCAAAGTGTGACAAAATAAAACCAATAAATAAAATCTATAAAACTCATCCTAATTATAAGATTATATATATAAATGAGTTTAATATTTTTTTTAAAAATGGCACAATGTAAAAAGAAAACAAACTAGTAAGTATTATTCAAATATAAAAAAAATCTCATTTGAGATTTTACTTTGAGTACCCAAGAGTATTAGGCTGGCATTGTCCTAAATTTGTAAGCTTTTTATCTGTTATTAGATTAGTCTAAAATAGTAAACAAAATCCTATTAAAAGTGAAATTAATTCTTTGGTTTTATTGATTTTTTGAAAATTGAGTTTTTTTGCACAAATATTTTACTTTTTAAATGCATCTAGAAAGTAAAAAATTTACTTAGAATATTAAAAAATCCACTAAAAAAATAATAAAATTTAATAAATACACAAGAATGCAAAAATGTATTCAATTTTTAGTGTTTTTTTTTTTTTTTGTATTTGATGAATTTTGTAAAGATTTTGTTCATAAATATTATCATTTTTAACTGTATCTCGGTGTATCCAAAAAATAAAAATAAAACATCTTAAAATATTAAATTTTTTGACTAAAAAAAAAATATGAAAAATAAAAAATTTAATTTTTTGAAAAATAAATTTAATTTTCTAAAACCAAACGAGATGAATATTTGAAAATGTGTTCCTGAATCTCATCAAGGAGGGTCTAGAATCAGATCTTACTTCCCCTTAAATTGTTGTTATAAATTTTCATTAAAAATTTGAAGAGTATTATAATTTTTTGAAATCCAGGGGCTGAGTGTAATGTAGCATAAGGAGGGTCTAGAATCAGATCTTACTTCCCCTTAAATTGTTGTTATAAATTTTCATTAAAAATTTGAAGAGTATTATAATTTTTTGAAATCCAGGGGCTGAGTGTAATGTAGCATAAATTAAATTCATCTTGAAAGCTAGGCTAGACATTAATAGCGAGTGCGTGTTGTAAAGCTACTGAAAGATATCTCCACTCGCCATCATCACTGCCGCCGCGGGCACCACCGTCTGCTACGGTTGCTTCGGCCACCATTTACTACAAAAATTTACATTTTTAACGATCAAATTTGATGACTAAAAGGAATTTAGCCACAAAAAATATCACTTTTGGCAACTACAAAATGTATTAGTCGGTGTTGATTTAGTGTATAGCTACTAAATTTTTTTAGTCGCGATATATTAGTTATTGGCGACTAAAATTTTTTTTATTCACCGAAAGTGACATTTTTGGCGACTAAAAATTGTATTTGTCGCCATTAGTCTATATTTTGGGCTGCAATTTTTTTTTAGTCATCGTGTAATAGTTTTTGCCGACAAAAGAAAATTTAGACCTTGTTTGGTTTAACTCTCAAAACACAATTTTTTTAAAAAAAATTCCAAAATTTTGTTTGATTGGAAATTTTTTTCAAAATCACTTTTCTCTTATACACATCAATCAATCATTTTTTCTCTCTTCTCTCTCTTTCTCAATCATTTTTTCTCTCACACACATCTACTTAATTACAACAAAATATCAAATCATCCCAAACCCCTATTTTCCAAAACTATTTCAAAAATATACAACCAAACAAATCAAAAAAAATTTTAAACTCTTTCTTCAAGATTTTTTTTGAAAACTTATCTTCCAAAACCAAATGAAACACACCTTTAGTTGCCAAATAACGGTGATATTTGTTATGATTACTCTTTGGCAACCAAACAATTTTGCAAGAAAATGTTGGCATTGTTTGGTTTGTTTTTAAGAAAGAAATTTTGGAGAAAAATTTTCTAAAATTTTGTTTGGTTTAGTAATTTTAGAAAAAAAAATATTCTAAAATCACTTTATATCTCTTACACATCAATCAATCATTTTTCTCTCACACACGTCTACGCAACTACAACAAATTATTAATAGGTCCTAACAGTTGAACTTAATTCCCATCAAGTTCTATTGAAAATAAGCCTTGGTAAAATTGTCGCTAAAAATAATTTTTTGTGACAATTTTTTATATTTGTCGCTAAAAATTGACAATTAGTGATTTTTTTGTCATGATTTTTATAAATTGTCGCTAAAACTTACAATTTGTGACATTTTTTATGACAAATTTTTTTCATAAAACCTATTAGACAATAAATCCGCTTATTAGGACCTACATGTAAGTATCCCAAATATCAAATCATTCCAAATTCTTACACTTCAAAACTATTTTCAAAATATACAACCAAACAAATCCAAAAAAAAAAATTAAACTCTTTCTCAATATTTGTTTTTAAAAATTTATCTCTCAAAACCAAACTAAACACACCCGTTCAGTTTTGGTGACTAAAAAAAATATTAATCATCGTATATTCATTTTTTTCGACCAAAAAAAATTAGTTGCCAAATTAATACTTTTGGTGACTAATATTTTAGTCGCCGTTGATTGAGATTTGGCTACCGACAAAAAATAAACTTAGTCGCTAAAGGTGAATTTTTTTTTGGAGGGATTAGAGGGAAATTATTTAACATTGGCGCCCGCCCCTGTTCTCCGTCTAGACCAAAAAATTTGTTCGAAGCTCTCGCACAACAAAAATTCTCCTTCACCACACCAAACCTCACCCCACTTCAGCAGACCATAGACCACCGCCACAGCCTCAGATCGCCATCGCCACCGCCGCAGATCACAGGTTCTCTCTCTCTCTCTCTCTCTCTCCTTCCTCTATTTCCCCCTTTCTGATTGTTGCTCTAGGGTTTTATATTCTTGATTCAGTTTAATTTCGTATTGATTTCTGAAATGGGTTTGGTTGTTGTGGTTTGATTTCTAAAGTTCTATGGGTTTGATGTCCTAAATATGGGCTTGATTTTAGTGGTTTGATACATTTCCCCCACTTTTTCCTTTCTCTTTCATTAGTTTATTGAAAAGATGTAGCCACACATAACAAGTCAAAATGAGTATTGCGTATGAGTTTGTTGCTAATATATATACTTTGAAAGTGTAACTAATTTAGTTTTTAAAGTGCTCCATGTTTAAGAGGGTTAGAAACCTATGCATTTGTAAAATGAGAATCACAAACGGGGAACTCTTTGTAAATGAGGAGAAACAGGAAAATGGGTTGTCATGTATAGCAAATGATAAGAATTTTGAGTTACTAACCATTTGGACAATCCTCTCCCTGACCCTCTCACTTAACCAATAGGCATTTTTAACAGTGAACTGTATGTCCACCTTGCTGTTCCACTGTAATATATGGAACAATAAACAAACATAGTCTTCAATAAATACCGGCACAAATGAACCAGAAAGCATAATTTGCTATTAAAGGAACCAGAAAGCATGTTGTAGATACAAAAGACACTAAGGAATGACAAGCAAGCAAGCAATGCTCTTAAAGAGGGAGAGGGCAAAGGAAAATGTCAAATAAATTTATTCACCAAACACTAGGATGACCAAACACTTGTCTTCAAAGCTCTTCCTGGGTCATTGATGTCCCAGACTGGGTGGCTTCGTCTCGTAAATTGATCATCTCAGCCTGCAATTGTAGGAAAAAAAACCACAATAAGGTATATATATGAAGTCATTGTTTTCTAGATTAACATATCAGGTCATTGTTGGAACATTAATATATGAGGTCATTGTTTTCTATGACAACTTTTTTTTATCCTATTGCTAAGATGATTATTGTTCTTGTTATTCTACTTCTATGCCTTGTGATTTCACTTACTGATAAATTAGTAATCTTATCTTCACTAATGGATTTACACAGCTTGCGTTGTGCTTACTGTCATTAAATTTGTCCATTTCTCCTGTGGATATATATGAAGTCATTGTTTTCTAGATTAACATATCAGGTCATTGTTGGAACATTAATATATGAAGTCATTGTTTTCTATGACAACTTTTTTTTATCCTATTGCTAAGATGATTATTGTTCTTGTTATTCTACTTCTATGCCTTGTGATTTCACTTACTGATAAATTAGTAATCTTATCTTCACTAATGGATTTACACAGCTTGCGTTGTGCTTACTGTCATTAAATTTGTCCATTTCTCCTGTGCTTCATAAGTTTTTGGTGACAAGACTGGCACTGTTGGTCTTTTGAGTAGGCATGCTTTTCTTTTGTTTTTATTTCTTCTTTGTATTTAATTCAATGGTAGGAATGTGGATACCATTTTTCACTGTTGGTGGTAGTGTCACATGATTGGTTTCAATTCTCTTACAGAGCTTGAACAATCCCTTCATTACCCATCTCTGCTTGCAAATAGCACAGAAAGTATAAAATAAAATCTCTCATTGGAATTTTTTGTTGTTTGTAGCTGTGTTTATTCAGTTTAAAATGATCTCTGGACTCATATATGAATGCTTGGGCATGCCAAGTGGAGAGAACCACCTGGTTCTTTGCTTGCCTCAATGAAGAGGACTTAAAATGTGTTAGAATGTAAAGGGGACAAAGACAAATGTTGTAAGTAGCAGAAAATCAAATTACATTCAAAATGATCAAGAATGCATTCAAAATCGAAATGCAGTCTAAAATATGCAGAGACATTAATGCTTTCTCATAACACTATACAATCCTCCCCTTGAATGAATTTAATCCATTAGATGTTTAGAGTTGTGATTATAGGTTTTAACCTTTGTCATTCCAATCTTATTTTTGGGCATGCATGTTATGAGTTTGAGAGCAAAGGTGCTTAACTAGTAGCAATTTTTGTGTATGAAAACTGGGCATAAATGCATATGGTTCATAAGTTTGTCTCAGATGCATATGTAAGCTTTTTTTTGTCTCAGATGCATATTGTCTTGATTTCTTACGCTTCTCATATGGTTCTTGTCTGTATAATATGTTTTTGGTGTGATCTCTGTTATACAGTAATTGGGTGTATTTTTTTTTAAACTCTTCAAAATTGTGCTATGTTTTCTCTTCTATTGGTGTGATTAGGTGATTCTTTTGGCTTTGGAAAGTCTGGTGTGTTCTGTTGTGGTAACAAACGCCTTCTCTTCCTTTCTTATGCTTCTTACATGTTGCTTGTCTTCATTTTTTGTTTTTTAAAGAATCTTTAGGTATATATATTTATCCTCTCTCTTAAAAAAAAAAAAAAAAGTGTTTTGTTTTCCTTTTTTTCGTTGTCCTTGGTATATTTATTTGACTGTTTTTGAGTTTACTAGACAAATCTAATTAATTTGTCCTTTTAATGTATGCCTTTGACCATAGTCACAATAAGCAATTTGTTAATAATACTCATCTCTATTTGTTCTATAATCTGTGTATGATATTCTCTCTCTCTCTTTTTTTTTTTTCCTTTTTTTTTTTTTTTAGGTATAGTTATGGTTTTATAGATTTTCTAAATTTGTTGACTTTGAGTTTGTGTTCCTTGTTATTGATTTTTTGTTTGATTACTCATGGTTTGGGTTCATAATGGCCATTCACCCAAAAAAAGGGTTCTTAATGGCCTGGTTTTTAAGTGTAGGGATTTCAAATGTAACCATGTTCCTTCTGTAAATTTTGCTTGCTTATTTCCTCTTCTATGTTTAAGGTTTATCTCTTTCTTTCTTTCTTTCTTTCTTTTCATGCAAGTCTTGTATTTGGTAAGTCTTGTGATAAAAAATAAAAAAATTAAAAAAAAAAAAAAAGAGAAGGGGGGAGAAAATAAAATGCTTTCAATACAGTAGAAGTTGTGAAAAGTACAAAATAGGAATAGGAGCAGTAATAGACCCATCTTTCCTGTTGATTGTTTTCCTTTTCTTTCTATTTCTCTTTCTCATAGTTTTGCTTTGTTTTCTTGTTATATCAAAGGCAAGAAATTCTTTCTCTTACTGATGTTCAGGCTTTAATGCATCATTCAAGTAAGTTGCTAGCATAACCTCACTTAGCTTTGAGTCAAGTTCATTAAGTTTTGACTTCATATCCTCAATATCTATCACTAACTGCAGCTCCTCCACAATAATATAAACTACAAATAGATAAGGGCAACAAACAGTCAGAAACTATGGTGTACAACTTTGTAAAAAAATGTCTTAATTAGCACATGTAGGTTGGGAGTTGGAGTGAAAAACGCCTTAAACTTAGTCGAGAAAGGCCGTTCGGGAGGCAAAAATGCAAACAGCCCCCGAACCACTCTATAGATGTCACAGGTAGCTTCCTCGTGACAAATAAGACTTGTGGGAACAGACGGGATGTAATTAGCACAAGTAGGTTGGGAGTTGAAGTAAAAAATGCCTTAAACTTAGTTAGAAAAGGCCGTTCAAGGGAAAAAAAATATAAAACAGCTCCCGAACCACTCTATGGATGTCACGGGTAGCTTACTCGTGACGAATAGGATATGTGGGGACAGCTGAGATGTAATTAGCACACGTAGGTTGGGAGTTAGAGTAAAAAACACCTTAAACTTAGTCGGAAAAGGCCGTTTGGGGGGGCAAAAATATAAACAGCGACCGAACCACTCTATGGATATCACAGGTGGCTTCCTCATGACAAATAGGACTTGTGGGGACAGCTGGGATGTAATTAGCTCACATAGGTTGGGAGTTTGAGTGAAAAACACCTTAAACTTAGTCGAAAAAGGCCGTTCGAGGGGTGAAAATGCAAAATAACTCCCGAACCACTCTATGGATGTCACGGGTGCTTCTTCTTAGCTTATTTGTTAAGTGAGGCACACCCATACACACAATGAACTACAACAATTTTCATACTTCCTCTCAAATAAAAGTGACAATGCCATGCATGTCCCTATTTCAACATAAGGCAACAACCTTTGCCAAACATATTCTTTGTCTTTTTTTTTGTTTGTTTGTTTTTGGGACACTATGTTATGTGCAAGATTATTTTGTAGGAAATGCTTCTTTTATGCTAAAGCTTCTACAATGCTGTAGAAGTCTGCCGTTTAAATAACCATAAGTGAAAGATAATGTCGTGAGGCAGACAATTCATTCACCATTCAACTTGTGGGTTTTGAAAAACCATGAAAGTAAAATAAAAATTGACTTCCAGTTCATAATACACAGGTGTGTTCAGAAACAGATTATACGTACATGATCTTTTTATGTACTTTTGTTAGGAAAAATGCCTATGAGTGTTGGAGTTTCTCTAACCCATTGATTGGGTGTCTTCAAAAATAAAAATACTGATAACTGCATAACACATATATATATTCACGTACAATGAAATTGGAGAGAGAGAGAAAAATTAGATAGAGAAAGAAGCAGAGAGATAATTGTAAATTTTTATTGAATTCACTAGGTTAAACAAAGGAGAATTTCCCTGCAACTCTCTCCCTAGCACAAAAATCCAATAAGTAACAAGCAGATAAACCTGTCTCCCTAAAAAATGTAATAATAATAGAGGCTAATCAATAAGGAAAATTGCATGTCATGAAAAAGTTGAAGAAAAGACAAATACACCAAAACTGTGAAATTATCTTCGAATGCTATATGGAACTAACGGATGTAATTTTTGTTTTCTAGATGGCTTTTGGCATGGACATGTGGATCTTTCATTTTTGTGTACGGATGACAATTTACACTTTTGAATAATCCTGCTTTTTTGTCGTCCTCTACTAAACATTTAGTAGCTAAAAAAGTAAGATGAACAAAAAACAGAAAATTTGCGACTAAAACTTTGGTCACTCTACATAATTCAACTTTTGGCGACAAAAATTTGGTAGCTGAAAATGTGATGTTAAATTTAATTGTAAGCTTTTGGCGACTAAAAAATTAGTAGATGGCTTTTGGCATGAACATGTGGATCTTTCATTTTTGTGTACGGATGACAATTTACACTTTTGAATAATCCTGCTTTTTTGTCGTCCTCTGCTTTTTGTGTGAATTTGGATGAATTGTACATATAACTTTTGGCGGGATACAGAATACTTTTGACATCGAACAAATATTTATTGCCGTGGTATATAGATTATCTTTTGTTGTGATACAGATTATTATGGTAATTTGTACCATGCTAAATGGTCATTTCACCTAGTAGTAAATATGATAGGCAACTAAAACTTTAGTAGCTAAACAAAAAAATTAGACTTTAGGCGACTAAACATTTAGTAGCTAAAAAAGTAAGATGAACAAAAAACAGAAAATTTGCGACTAAAACTTTGGTCACTCTACATAATTCAACTTTTGGCGACAAAAATTTTGGTAGCTGAAAATGTGATGTTAAATTTAATTGTAAGCTTTTGGCGACTAAAAAATTAGTCGCCAATTTAGCCTTTCAGCAACTAAAGATTTTGTTTGTTGCCAATACCTTTACTTTTGGCGACTAAAACATTAGTCGCCAATTTAGTACTTTCGGCGACTAAATATTTTTTAGTTGCCAATACCTTCCCCGACAATCATCCGGTGACAAAGCCGGCGACCAAAAAGTTTAGTCGGGAAAATGTTTCGGTGACTAAATAAAATTTGACTTTTTGTGACTAAAAATTTAGTCTCCAAAAGTACAATTTGTTGTAGTGATTAACAGTATGCCCCACCCCTCTTCTTCTCCTTGTATTCTTTTCCATATATATATATACATATGTGTGTGTTCGGAATGGTTGTTTTCCATATACCTCTTTTCCAAATCCCTCAACCAAACACAGATTATTAGGAGAGCCTTGAATCCATTAGGGCTTCCATGAACTCCTTTTTATGTTTGTTTCTGTTTCATTTTTTATTGAAATTTCAACAACATTCAGTGCTGATTCTCAAGTTTCGAGCAAAAACCCCCAAAATTTGCCTTTTCCCATTGTGTTGGTGGGTGCGAATGTGAGAGAGAGAGAGAGTAAAAGAAGGTAAAATAGTCAAGAAAATCAATTTCATTTCCTTTATATTAGAATTAGCCATTCAATCTTGTGAACTTAAAAAATAAAGAAAAATGAAGTCAATGAACTTTTATTTTATTTTTATTCTATTTTTTTTTTTTTGGGGGGGTTTTTTTTGGGAGGGGGGGGAAGGGGTTTAGGTGAGCAAATGAGAAAAAAATTAATTGAAATTTAGTTTAAAAAAACTACTTTTTCTGTTCAATTATCCAAAATAAGTATAAGCAATTTCATTTCCTTTGTCTTTTCTTCTACTTGACAATCCAAGATTCAAACATAGCCTCTATGAAGCACGGACACGGACACGGAATACTGCAATTTCTAAAAAATGGGGACACAGACACGGCAAATTTTTTAATTTTTTTATAAATATTTTTATTTTAATACATATTAATTATTTTATTTATTTATTATATTTTTTAAATAATGTGTTCCAATTAATTTTTTAATTTTATTTACATACATGTATTTATTTTTTTTTATTATTAATATGTATAAGTATGGAATTGGTAGATGTTATGATTAGGAGGAGAGTTAGTATAGCTATCTTATCATATGGATTATATATTATCTTATAAGTATATTATATGTTAGATAATAACTATTAATATATATAGTATATTATCTTTTGAGGTGGTCAACGAAACATTTCAGTTTGAGAAAGAGGGGCAGACGAAAGGGGGAAAGAAGAGAGGCAGACAAAAGGGTTAAAAGAAGACGAGAGAGAGAGAGAGAGAGAGAGAGAAAAGAGGAGAGACGAAGCGAGCCAGACAAGGGAGAAGAGAGAGAGACGAGAGGCGAGCCAGAGAAGAGAGAGAATAGAGACGTACCAGGTCAAGAAGTGATGGAAGATCAACTGGAGACAGAGATCGATGGAGATCGAGATCGATCGATCGAGATGGAGATGAACAGGTTCGGACGCCTCTTCTCTCTTTTCTTCTTTTGATTTTGGATTTAGCTCTTCTTCTCCTCTTTCTTCGAGTTAGGGTTTTCTGTTTTGTTCCCCTTGCCGTGTCCTCTTGCCATGTGCCGACATGTCCCCGACGTGTCCCGTACCAAAAAAATAAATTAATTAAAGGGACACGCCAAATGGCGTGTCTTGTACGTGTCCCCGGCGTGTCCCCGTGTCCGACACCGCCACGGCTTCCATTTTGGCGTGTCCATGCTTCATAGCATAGCCTTATAGTGTATTGTACAAAGGCCTGTTTATCTGCCTGGAGTTTAATCAAAGCATTCAAAATTTTATTACTTCTAAGTTCCCAAATATTAACAACATTGCAGTCCATATGTAGAATAAATTTCAAGCACAAATATGTAATTCTGAAGTTGTTCAGCTACTTTTATATCTTCAAACCTATATGGAATTAGCATTAAGTATTATTTGACCGAGTGTATTTTCATTGGATTTGCATTCATTTATTATACAAAATTCAAATTTGCAGATATATATCAAATTGGTTCCTTCCGGTGGATATTTGGAGAGTGATATTGTTTCAAAGCTAGTTGGTCTTGATCTTTGTTTCCTTGGTGATGAAGATGTACGTAATTACCCTTTAAATGGATCAACCCCTAGAACCTATTGATTTTTGTTCTGCTAATGTAGTTCTCTTGTAATAACGAGCTGGCTCTCTACAAATTTTTGTTTTCATCTTTCAACTTTTGGGTGACTGTAATTTGTTTGATTGAATGTTTTGCAGAGTAAAAGCCAATGCTGGCACACTTACCAATTTCGAAGTGCTTGATTTTTTACAATCTAGAGGGGCTGCAAAGGATTCTGCACGGATTATTGTTTCTGTTGCACAATCAGAATTCAAAGTTGCATACTTGCGAAAAATCTTATTTTTGCTTCTATTAGGATACAGTATTGGGAAGCTTCATGTGGTTTATTGTTTGCTATTGCATTTTAGGTTTTTGATTATTTGGAGCAGAGCGCTGCTTGCAATCAGACGAGAGAGAGAATTACCGAATTTGTGAAAAAATGTAAAAAGTACAACCTAGCGAAAGCCGAGATTCTCAACATCATCAACATTAGACCTTCTTCTGTGGTTGAAATCGACCCGGTAATTCTTATAGAATGCTGTTACAAATTCTTTTCAGCATCACTGAACATGGTTAAAAAATTATATACTCTCAGTATTTTTCGGTGATTCTTGATGCTTCGCGTTTTAATTTTTTAATGAAGTGTATATGTTCTATTTTATTTTTATAAGTAATTGTGATCAACTGTGAATGAATATCTAGCCATGCTAGTTGATGAATAAGTGGCAAACATGTTTCTGGTGGACAAGTGGGGCTTGTCTGCAAATCTGTTTTTCAGTTGTTTCTCCATTGTTTTGCAGATTATAGAGGAATGTGAATCACGTTTGGGAGATAGTGTTGAAGAATTGGTAGAGTTGGTGGCAGAGGTATTGCCCGCTCCTCCAACACAAACAGAGTCTGACGATGCTGGTTTTGAGGACAAACAAGAAATTCCAGATGGGGCAACAAATGGAAACCAGTTGACACCATATTGCTCGGTTGAACTAGAAACTTGTTACAAAGACCTAGAAGGGATCAGGTGAGTAGCTAGAAACTGATGAAAATGAACTGTTAACATGAATGATGTCGACTTTCCTAGTGTGTATGCTTACCTTTGATGATATGCTTGGAAACACAGTTACAAGTAATGCTTTTGAAATCTACATGGGATTGGTTGAACCTAGTTGTTTGCTTCTGTAGGCTTCATGTGCTTTATTTCCATTTTATCTAACCATTATTCACATACAAGTCCGTATCATTATGTGCCTCATGTGCTTTATATGATTTTTGTATCGTTTCTTTTTTCTGCCCCATTATCTTTGCTCTAGTTCAGATATAACAAGAAGCTTAGAGCCTTTATGGTTTTTTTTTTCATTGTTTTTGTTGTAATTTTCTGTGTTTTTTTTTTGTGTGTGTGTGTGTGTCTCTGTGTGTGAAATCAAATAACGGGACTTGGTAACGTAGTTGTTTTCCTGCCATTTGCATTTTCTTATAATTTTTAATGTTTGAGAATTTAGGAAACAGTTTGTAATACGATCTATTTTGGCAAATTTTCTCAAAATCAGTTTTCAAGAACAATTTTGCCAAACATTTTTTTTTTGGGGTGGCGAAAACAGAGTTCTCAAAACAAATGCCAAACGTTGGTGATTTATGTATCATAAGGTTGAATAATCACTGCTTGTCTGAGTAATTTTCTCACTGATTGGATGAAATGTAACCTGCCTTATCCTATGGCACAAGAATCGGTAAATTACCCGTAAGTACTAATAGTTGGGCTTAATTTTTATCAAATCTTATTGAAAATAAACAATAATAAAATCTCTGTTAAAAATTATTTTTTGTTATGATTTTTTATACGTCGTTAAAAATTAATAATTAGTGATTTTTTTTCTCACGGTTTTATAAATTGTCGCTAAAATTTATTGGTGAAATTTTTTTGTGATGAATTTTTCAAATGAAAGTTAAAAATTAAGTACTTTTTTTTTTATGATTTTTTTTTAAACTATCACTAAATTAGCGACATTTTTTATGATAATTTTTAAATTGTTATTGAAAATTAACAATTAGTAACTTTTTTTAGTAATGTTTGATGAAAAACATCATTAATTATCCTAGGACTTATTGGACAATAAATTCACTTATTTATTGGATAATAAGTTCATTTATTAGGATTTACATGTAAGTTTTTTTTAAAAAAAATTAAAAAAATCCTAAAGATTATTTTATCTTTATTTCACAAAAATAACGAAAGTAGTTTGTATACAATGAAAATTTTTATATGACTTAATAGTTTTTTTTTTTTGGTTAACGAGTAAACTTTTTAAACCTATCCTTCGTTGACTTCGAAATCAATTACTTAATGTCGGTTAATTAAAGTAAGACGAGAGATAAACTTTAGGTGTGCGTACTTTGATGAAAAACATCATTAATTATCCTAGGACTTATTGGACAATAAATTCACTTATTGGATAATAAGTTCATTTATTAGGATTTACATGTAAGTTTTTTTTAAAAAAAATTAAAAAAATCCTAAAGATTATTTTATCTTTATTTCACAAAAATAACGAAAGTAGTTTGTATACAATGAAAATTTTTATATGACTTAATAGTTTTTTTTTTTTGGTTAACGAGTAAACTTTTTAAACCTATCCTTCGTTGACTTCGAAATCAATTACTTAATGTCGGTTAATTAAAGTAAGACGAGAGATAAACTTTAGGTGTGCGTACTGACTCCACAACATACATATCTTTTCGGTTAGAGAATGCCACAACGTACACATCATTGTAGCTATCAGGATTCGATTTCACACCTAGGCCCTGAATATGGGTCGTCCAACCCTTAGACAATCGTCCTACGACCACTGCATCAAATTCCTAAGAGCTGGCTTTGAGAAGTGTGAAACTTACGACTTCAAGACTTATACCCCAAAATCTTATCAAAGTATCGCAACTCCTTGGATTAACTTCATAGATTAATATCATCCAACTAACATAATCACACACCACACAAAACAACACATAATGCAAACTCACTACTAATTTGAATCACTGAATTCTATGATATACTCGTAGGCTTTATAGCTTTGGCTCAGGTGTAGATATATCAATCAACCGCAGGAGATGAGTGTTACTGATGACAGAAGATGCAATGGCTAGCTCCGTTGATCTACGTTTGAGCACTTTAGCTTTTGAAAGGTGTAGCTTTTAGTATATGATGATGGAGTCCAATCTCAAGTCGGGAGGACACCGGCACTGCTTAACAGAAACTAAAGAAGAACCAAACAGAGCATGGTATAGTACTCTCTTACATGGGTGACAGACACCCCCATATCATGTCTTTTAAGAAACGGGGACAGTTCCTAAAAAAAAAAGAAGAAAAAGACAGGCGGGCACGGACGGATTCAAGGAGGGTAAGGCCATGCTTGGAAAGTTGGGTTTAAACTAAAATAGTTAATAAAGATTAAATATATTAAAATAGTTAATAAGATAAAATGTTTTATTCAAATTAAAATTATTTTATTTTTTTTTCTCACAACTATTAAATCAATTTCAAAAAAAAAAAAAAAAAATCAATTATCATTCCAAATACAACTTTTTTAGTCAAGTTAAAATAATTAAAAAATTAACTAAAATAATTTATTCTCAAACGGGACCTCCTTTTCTCTCTCTAATTAAGGATTCCTCTCTCTTTGAAATATCTCTCACTCATTTATTTTAAATTATATAAAAGTTTAAAAATATGTATATCTTAATACATATAATTGAATAATTGATCACGCTTGCTTGAAAGGTAAGAGCATCTTCAACCATTATTGCTATAATGTTATTGCTATTGTTATAATTTGGCATATTTTGTCAAATTATAGCAATGGTGCTCCAATGGTCATTTGCTATTTTGGCAAATCTCAACCATCTTTTCCTCTAAGTTTGTAGGTGTTGTTTGAATATAGGTTTTTTTGTGATTTTATTTTTGTTTATTTTTTGTCTTTTGTGACATTTTGCCAAATTATGACATTTTTTTGGCAAATCTCAACCAACTATCCCTCAGTCTGTCTTCCTCATCTCTCTGTTTTTACTCTTCATCTCCCTTTCTCTGTCTTCACTCTTCCTCTCCCTCTCTCTGTCTTCCCTCACTCTTCTTAAACTAGTGCCTTCTCCCCTTCCATGATCGAAACGTCTCTCTCTCTCTCTCTCTCTTTCTACCTACGAAGTTCCGATCTGTCTCCCTCTCAATCTTCACCTCTAATCTGTCTACTCTCTGTCTCTGGTACGATTGCCATCTATATACATACTCCCTCTCAGTCTTCATGTGTTGATTTTTTCTTTATTTTTCTAGTTGTTGATGTGGATCTGAGGTAATCGTGATTTTTGAAACTCAAATCTGGCGATGGATTCAAACCGGATCTTCAAAGAACTCAAATCTCGTATTTTTTTTTTTTCAAATTTTCTTAATTATTTATTTTGATCAATTTTTGTTCATCCATCAATTTTGATATCTATCTTCATCAATTTTTTTTGTTCATCCATCAAATCTGGTATCTATATATATATATATCTATATGTTTTGATATTTGTCTCCCTCTCAATCTTCATCCGTCAATTTTTGTTCATCCGATTATTTTATTGTGATATTGGATTATCTGATTTGCTTGGTTTATTATGAATGCATACCATCTGATTTAGATTGACTGATTTGGTTAAAAAATAAATAAAAAAAAATTGAGAAACCGAATTTGGGTTTGTCAATTTCATTTTGAAATTTGTTTGATTCTGAAAATTGGGTTTGATTATGAAAAATGGGTTCCCTACTGTTTCAATTCTGTTGTTTTTAACTGAATTTGGTGCCAAATTGCTGTTGAGTTTTGCTGATCTGGCAAGCTTGAGAGCTGCTATTTCACTTGCCAAATTTGAGAACACATATAGCATCTGCTATTTTTGACAAGTAAAATAGCAGGCCATTGGAGACCTCTTTTTGGCATTCATGTCATTTTTTAGCTTTGGCAGCTTGAATAGCAGCTCCATTGGAGATGCTCTAAGATCTTAGTTATTACATTGTATTTGCTTAAAATTTTAATTCACATAATAATTTACTTATTTTTAATAATTATTTGTTATTATATTGATAACAAAATTTAAAAAAAAAAAAAAAAGTGAGGTCAAATGGTTGTTTCCTCAAAATTTATATATATATATATATATATATATTTTGTCCAAAATGTTGTAAAACAGAAGAAAAAAAGAAAAAAAAGCGAAGCAACGTTGGTTATGTTACCTAACTTAACCCAACTTTTAATACTTTCAAGTTCCATCAATCACCAAATATCGGGCTTGTTTAGTTTGTATTTTAAGATATAGGTTTTTTTTGGTTTAGTTTTGAGAGAGTAATTTTAGAGAAAAAATTTTAAAATTTTGTTTGGCTTAGTGATTTTGGAAAAAAAATCCAAAATTACTTTTTCTCTCTTACACATCAATCAATCATTTTTTCTCTCTCCTCTCTCCTGCTCAATTACTTTTTCTCTCACATATATCTACTTAACTAAAATAAAATATCAAATCATTCCAAACTTCCATACTCTAAAATTATTTCCAAAATATACAACCAAACAAACCAAAAAAATTTCTAAATTCTCTTCTCAAATTTTTTTTGGAAAATTTATCTCCCAAAATCAAACTAAACACACCCATAATTTTTGAGAAAAATTTCTAAAATTTTGTAAAATCACCTTCTCTCTATTATACATTAATCAATAACTTTTTCTCTCTCTTCTCTCACTCTCAATCACTTTTTCTCTTATACACATCTACTCAACTACAACAAAATATCAAATCATTCCAAATTTTTAAATTCAAAAACTATTTTCAAAATATACAAATAAACAAACCAAAAAAAATTTTCAACTCCCTAATTTTTTTTTTGAAAATTTATCTCAAAATACAAGCCAAACGCACCCGATTGTTATTTCCTGCCACTTAATATCAAGCCGCAAGTTCTATTTTTTTAAAAAAAATTACAGATTAAGAAAAATGTTTTTAATTATTAAATTATATAAGATTTATCATTGAATTGGATTTTGTTTTTGGAAAATTACGCTCCATCGTGATCTTCTCATATTTTTAAGCACCACTAGTCCTGCTTTAAGCTATCAAATAAATTCAATGGAAAATATCAAATCAATAAGACAGATGTTATAATTTTATAGTGTGTTGTGTAAATTTTTTTGTGTCTGGGGCAAGTCTTTACTATGTGGCAAAATTATAACACAAAAATTTTCATCTCTAATATAATAATTTATCCACTGTCCCACGGGTTTGATATTTTTTCTATATTCTACCACTCTTAACTTAGTCTACTATCCTATCTGAAAAAAACAAAAAACACTTGGCCAACAAGAAGTTGTTTAGTGTCCAAGAGTATTGTTGTACATTACATAAATCAGGACATTTATCATGTTATTTTTTCATAAGAAACAAAAAATAATAAAAACGTTAATGAACTACATATTAGAGCACCATTTAAATTTACCTGAAGCAGACTATAATTTCTCCTTAGCCTACTGAGTGTCCGAAAATTGGACATGGAAGGATAGAAAGAAAGGTGATTGATAGAGGGGGAAGAGAGAGACAGGTGCCATTAATTAGTCTTGTATGCCACTTAACAAAAATGATTAAGAGATCTAAGAAAAGAGCTTTAGAAAGTTTTAATTGTGATAAGGGGTTGTTTGGGGTATTTTAAATAAGTGTATTTTTTGTCTTTTTAGAATAAAAAGTTGAGAAAAAAAATTTAAATGTTTGGGTTAACTTTTTGACTTTTTATGAAAAATGTGCATTAAAAAATTGTATAAGTAAGTGTGTAGGAGAAGATAGGATAAGAGGCCGTCCGGACTCACAGTGGATTGGCAGTGGAGTCAGCTGGGTGAGTAGATGAGAAAATATTGTCTCCTTCTCGGGCTTTGATTGGATGGTGTTGTTTGGCCCGTGAGGGCCCACCACGGGTCCCGTTTTTCTAATCGGAACCGTTCGATGTGTAGAACTCGTCGAGTACTATATGTTTATAAAAAAAACATTAATTGGATATCGATAGATATATGATTGTGTTAGTTTTTTTTTTTTGTTAACTGTTAACTATAACACTATCAATTTTTATGCAAAACTGATTTGATCATGTAGTTAGCGATATCCGATAGACATGATTTTTTGCAGGTAATTTTATATATTGGACGGTTCAGATTATCAAAACGGGACCCATAGTGGGCCCGCACGGGCCCAAATTTACCATCTAATTTTGTGATTGGCCAGTTGTAATTTTTTTTTTCTCTGTCACTAACTAGTTGATCACGTCAGTACCAATCTTGGGCCAAAAAGTTAATTTATTTTAATATTTGTATATTAATTTTTTAATATTTTTTTTGTAAATAGTGATAATTTTTTGACTTTTTCTAAAATTGCCCAACCAAGTCTTGTGATGTGATATTTTGTGTTAGTTTTTTTTTTTCCCCACATAAATAGAGTTCTTTTTAGAGCTTTACTATTAGAGCATCCCTATCATCTTACCTAAATTTTATCCTAAAATATTATTAAAAATTTATTTCCTATTTTAAGAATCACCTTTTCATTTATTTCCCTCAATAGACTCCCTATTATTTCCTATTCTATTAATAAACTCCCTATTTTTTCTATTTTATTAAAATATAATTTTTAATTATAAATTTTAAAAAAATAAAAATCATAAATATGTATTGCAGTTCCTAAACAAAACAAAGCAAAAAATAAAAATAATTATAAGAGAGCTACAGTGACTCCCTACAAATAGGGAGTCACTGTAGCAATTCCTATTTTAGAGAAGTGTTTAAGGCCTTTAATGGAAAGGTGTATGGAGCCACTAATTTCTTAATATTAGGGGTAGGCAATGATTTATCCGATTCGCAAAACTCGCCCAACCCGTCCAACTTGTATACAAATGAGCGGTTTCACAGACGCAATACGAGTGGATGCGGTTTGAAATATGGCATGTTTGTGGGTTGCAAGCGGGTTGCGGGTTTAACCCACACCCGCAAGAATCCGTCTGCACTTTTTATTATTATTTATTATTAATTTTAAATGTTGATTTCATTCCTATATCATACCTAGATATTTTTGCCAAAAATAAAACACCTTTTATTCTTTGAACTTACTCTAGCATTACATTTGTTAATAGTATTATATAAATTGAAATTGAATAAATATTGATCATATTATTATTGTTTCATAACTGAACTTGTCCCGAATGAAGTGTGATTTGGAATTTTAAATTCCTTAATGAATATGAAATTATAGTTTAAGATTTTGAAATATGTACTTGTGTTAGTTTATGATTTGATTTAGGATTTTGAATGATTTGTTTGTGTTACGAATTGATTTTGTTGTGTTTTTAATTTTATAAATTTTAATTCATTAATTATTAATATTGGAGCATTTTAGAAAATAGGGAGAAAATGGTCCAAAATAAATATTTACAAAATGGAAAGAAAAAAAATGCTCAAAAATAAAATTTTGAAGAAAAAAATTCAATTCGCAAACCGTTCGCAACCGTCCGCACATCTGTGAACCTTATTAACACAAACCGCAAACCGCACTGTGGACATTTGCGGGTTGACTTTTTTCCAAACTGATCCGCAAACCGTCTAAATCCGAACCATGAATATCCCTACTTAAAGGAATATTTTGGAAAATTGGTAAAAAGCTAAATTTTAGCTTTTTGACTTTTTTGGTGACTTTTTAGACAAAAAAATTGGATTTTTTTAGATAAAAAATTGATTTTTTTGACTAAAAAAATTAAAAAACTAAAAAATTAACTTTTTAGCAATATTGTCAAAATGCTCCAAAATAGGTAAGAATAAAATTTAAGAATTTCATCTGTTATCTATATCATCACTAAACCACCAAATTGCCTGGCAACACCAACAATGTTTGTCAATTCGAATATCACATCAAATCATTTATCATCTCTCTCTAATTTTTTTCATTTTTTTATTTTATTTTATATATGTGAGAGTCAAAGTAAACATAGCCTGTTTGGTAGGGCTGTGGGAAAGTACTTATAACTTATGCCTAAACAGCTTATAGCTTATAACTATGAACATAAGTTGATTTCTGACTTATAAATTAAGCATCTCCTGCCCCATTCAAAGAATAAGCTGATTTCTGACTTCCAAAAAGCTATAAGCTATAAAGTAAACCAAACACATCAAAATAACTTAAATTAAGCTGAAAGCTGAAATAAGCAGCTTTTAAGCTGCACCCAACAGGCACATAGCCGTGCGAAGTGGGGGCAGCCAGCCAGAGTGAGCCTTCGTTTGGAATGAATTAAAATAGCTTGATTTTTTGATTTTTTAATTATTTTATTTTAAAATTAAAAAGTTTTATTTGGAATAAATTTTTTGATTTTTATAAAATAAAAAATAAAAAAATTATACATTAGATGTAATATTTTATCTTATTTGACTAAAATAGTTTATTTTATCTTATATGACTATTTTAATCCCAATCTTTCTTCCCAAACGGATCCTAAATTAACATTGTATATTTCAATCTTCAATTATAAAATTTATTTTACTTTTACAGTGGACATTTTATAGTTTTCACAGTATCAATTAAAATAGGAAGATTTAGTAAAACATTACTGTCCAACTTTAAGTAATGGGAGATGTCTAATATATTTTTTCTTATTAGTTAAAATCCCTCAATAATATTAGAACTGAAATTTTTTTGTAAATTTTTCTTTAAAAGTTGAAATTTGTTCGTGAAAAAAAAATTCCTGTAAAAATGTTAAGAGACCCCAACTATTATGAATATGTTGCATATCCCTGATCTTACAAAATCCTAATATTAGGGATTTTAAATTAAAAAACTTATCAAAATATTTTGTCAATTTATACAAAATATATATATGATATAGTATTTCATAGTTTGTAATACTTGATAATATGCCATCCATACAAAAAGTAGTATAATTTTTCTTATAAAAAATATATATAACTTTTTAGTAGTTATCAATTTGGAACACTAGAAGTAATTAGATTGAATCAATGGTTGAAATATTAATAAATCTTTTAATCAGTCTTGATATCATGATAGGATGAATAATGGAGCCATCCAACCCAAAAATAATTAGTGATGGATAAAAGGGCCTCTTATCTATATAAACTAAGGTTGAGTGATTGAAAACATCCACAATGATATAATTAAAATCGTGTATTGAAGTGTTAGTTAATTGACAAAAAATAATAAAAGTGAAAATTGAACTTTGTGTGTTAAGTGATTGTTAATATGATCTAATTATGATGATACTAATATTGAATTAACATAATTATTTATACAAATAATCTCTTTAGTAAATACTAAAATATAAATAATTTAAATTATTGAAATAGACTTAAAATGGACTCACCGCCCATTAACTAGTTCCTTCAATTCAATTAGTGGACTAGAGGTAGACTTACTTCATTTATAAATGCTAATTGGAACTAGAAATATCAACTTGAACACATACTTACCTCACATAAACCCACCTCACAGAACTTGTTACAAGCTGAAGCTGGATTTTTGCTTTGTAAATTTGTGCTAAAAAAGGCACCCATAATTATCAAGAGAATCGATTTTATCCATAAATTGAGATATCAATGCATGAACATAGCCAATGGCAAACAAAAAATTAATATTGGACTCTACATTATGCTTCTAATATTATTCCAGAATATTGAGTTTATTCCATCACAAAAAAAAAATCACTGAATACACATCAAAATCACATCCCAAACAGCTAAAAAAAAGAAAGAAGAGGAATTGAGACAATAACAACAATGGGTTGGCGGCGCGACTAGCTATTGTGTTTCCTTCTGGATGTGTTTGATGCCATAATTAATTTAATTAAATTCAGTCAACACACAGAAAGGGCTTCTAATTAATGCTTACACGAAGATGGAAATCAAACAGATACATATATATAGTTTCTAGGGAATTTGAGAGGCTGCGGACATGGCTAGTTTGGCTCTCAGATCTTTTCTCAATATCTTTCCAGAAGGAGACTTTGGAATGGCATGAACAAAGTACACTTTGTGCAGTTTCTTGTAAAACACCACCTGCTTGTAAAATTCACGGCCAAAAATAAGAAACCCATTTGGTGAATTAATTGGTTTGGTTTTCACGTTTAGAATCATTAATCTCATCACTCACAATAATAGATACATAAACAAAGACATACCTGCTTTGCTATGAATTCTTTAACAGCATCTTCTGTAAGTTCTAACCCATTTGACCGAACCACAAATGCTACAGGAACTTCACCGGCAACGTCATCTTTTTGCCTGATTAATTTGCATTAATTAAATTAGGCTCGTAGTTAATTTCCAGCTCGGATATTGGGTTTTTAATTAAGTTGGTGAACATTGTTATGAGTTGTATATAGCTCTAAGATGACTAGTATAAGTGAATGAGCTTAGCTTCAACACAGCCTAGTCTACTCTCATCTGATCAACACATAGAAGCATAATTAAGCAAGGTATGTCTATTTGAACGCATTGGCTTAGTTCACTCCCAACCTCACTAAACACAACTAATTACATGTCAGTACTAGAGGCTCACCAAAAGTATGCTTATTAGTTGGGGTTTTTTTCACTATCTTCGCTAAAAGTAGACACCATTATGTTAATATATAAATTTTTTTGGGTACTTTTCTTTTCTTTTTTTTTTTTTTTTGTGATTTTAATTATGTGTAGGCAGATTTCTTAAATAGAAAACTAATTAATAAGGGCTGCAAATGAATCCAAGTGTGCTTACGGGACAACAGCAGCATCCGCAATGGATGGGTGGCTCACAAGAAGGGCCTCAAGCTCGGCTGGTGGCACCTGTATACAAAAAAGAGTATGATGTTATTGGGAGAATCAAGGAAATATTAATTAACTTGATCATGAAAAGAAATTACTTCACATGCATATTAAATTGTGGGTAATTATATAAGAAAGAGAAATGTAGTAATGTGATGCTTGTGAATTTGAAGAGAGAAAGATAGAGGGGGAGAGAGTTTAAGGAAAGGAAGTGCAAGCTATATATAGAAAGAAAAGTAGTGAACATGCCTGGAAGCCTTTGAATTTGATGAGTTCCTTGACTCGATCAACAATAAAAACCTCATCATCGTCGTCTACATAGCCAATGTCCCCAGTGTGGAGCCAACCATCCACATCAATTGTTGTAGCCGTGGCCTCCGCATCATTCAAGTATCCTACGTACCGACCCCACCATAATAAAATCATTATAGAAATATGTTATTCCGAGAATACTGAATAGTTTTTGCATTTGTTGGGCATGATGACAATTGAGCAACTTGATGAGCAGAGGGAATGAATTATTAAAAGAGAAAGCAGCAGCAGCAGCAGCAGCAGCAGTAGTACCTTTCATAATTTGAGGACCACGGATGCAAATCTCGCCGGAGTGGTTGGGGCCAAGGGAGCAGCCAGTTTCAGGGTCAATGACCTTCAGCTCGGCGTTCCTGACCACAGTTCCGCATGAACCTGATTTTGTTGGGAATGGCTGCTTTGCAAACGCCAGGCACATTGATAATACTGGCCCTGCCTCTGTCATCCCATATCCCTATACTCACAATACCCAACCCAACCCAACCCAACCCAAACAAAATCAAAATTCATGCTAAAATTAAACACTCTTGCCAAATCAGTGCAAAATTTTATAAAAATTTATTATTTTGATTTTTTTTGTGTCTTTGTTAAAAAAATAAAAATAAAAATAAAATTGGCCTCGTTATTTAATAAGTGAGAAATTACAAATCAAGTGTGATTTTCAAAAATAATTACATGTCCATATCAAAAAATTTATATGGGTATGTTTGATTGAGAGATTTGACAAGAAATTTAAAAATAAAAATAAAATAAAATGTATAAAATTAGATAAAATATAAGTATATTTTTTCACATTTCACCTATATTTTCTCTTTCTCTTTTTCTTTCTAAATTCCTTTCTAAATTTCTCAACCAAATACAACGCAAGAGTTTTTATATGGAATTTTTTTAAAGTCCCTCTTTCTCTTTTTCTTTATAAATCTCTTTTCAAATTTCTCAACCAAATACAACGCAAGGGTTTTTATATGAATTTTTTTTTAAGTTCTTAATATTAAGATTTTATAAGATAAACGACACATAATATTTTTATAGTAGTTGGGGTCTCAATATTTTCATAGAGAAAATTTGACACAAAAACATTTCGACCGACAAAGAAATTTCTCTGATTTCACAAAAAATTTTTATTAGGGGACCATAGCTAATAAAAAAAAAAAAATTGGACATTTCCTATTATCCAAAGTTAGAGAGAGAAATTCCATTAATTTTTTCTTTTTATATTCGATTTTTTAATTAACATTTAATTTTATTTGTTTAAGTATCTTTAGGGTTCCCCTATTAAGAAAAAACAAAAAAAACAGAAGGTATTTTCAGGGATTTTTTATTTTTCAAACTAAAAGTTAAAACAATAAAATAAATTAGTAAAAATAAAGGTGAAAAGTCCAAACTTATGGCGTCCTGTGTTATTTCATCATGGTTAAAAACTATTTTTTAGTTTTTTTTTAGCTTTTTTGTGTAAGAGAGAAGTGGGTTAAAAGTTGACTTTTAACCCACTTCCCAAAATTAGTATTGTGTTTGTTTTGGGAGTTGGAGAGGAGATTAGAATGGAGGAGGTGATATAGATGGAGGTTGGAAGGGGGATTGAGATGGAGGAGGTGGAGATGGTATTAGAAAAATAGTGAGGGGATTAGAAATTTTTTTATTTTTTATATTTTTTATATATTGGAAATTTTTTTTTAAATGTTAATGTTTAATTTTTTATATATTTTTATTTGTTTTATTATTTTATATAAAAATAATTTAATAATTCCTACACTAACAACTATCATCAAAACAAACATAATTTTACTTTAATTTCCTCACTATGAATTCCCTCCATTCTATCTCTGAAACAAATGGGGCTCAGTGTGTAGAGGGCCAAATGAATGGGACATAAATATCTCACGAGGAGTGATCTTTAGTTGCAATTTTAAATCATAACTTTCTAATTTTTTTTATATATTTATTTGACAAAAAAAAAAAAGAAGAGAAATTCTTTAGATTGTGTTTGGTTCAAACGATTTGGGAAAGAATTTAAAAAGAAAAAAAAGAAGAAGATGAAATGTGAATAAAATATCTTATATTTTACCTAATTTTATATATATATATATATATATTTCTTCAAATCTCTCCTCAAACTCATGAATTAAATATAAGCTTAAGGTACAATTTCTAACTCTTTTTTGTTTGAAACCTTAAAAAGGTATTGTATTACTGAAGTAAAAATACTTTTGAGAGTCTAATGAATTTTGTACAATAAGAAAACTATGTGAGGGTTTATTAATCAAACAAGTTTTACTTTTTTTTCGTGCAACAAATAAATTTAAATTTTATTTAGTTTTTTGAATTATATTATGAATTTTATAAGGGTAAACTATCAATAGGTGCTAACAATTAGACTTAATTCCCATCAAGTCTTATTGAAAATAAATCTTGATAAAAATATCGCTAAAAATAATTTTTTTGTGACAATTCTTTATATATGTTGCTAAAAATTAACAATTAATGACTTTTTTGTCATGATTTTTATAAATTATTACTAAAACTTAAAATTAGTGACTTTTTTTATGATAAATTTTTTTCATAGAACCTATTAGATAATAAATTCACTTATTAAAACTCACACGTAAGTACCTCATATTATAAATGTAATAACAAACTAATGGGATGATAGATTTCCATAAATTACACCTCAAAATTAGTTCGGGTGTCAACGCCATTGTCCCCCTGCTTTTAATTTTGAGTAAGGGAGGTGAATTAAGCAACACAATACAATATACTCATTCCGGTCTATTTTATTAGCTTATTATTTTATTTTACGATGTCTCAAAATGATAATTCTATTTAAAAAATCAAAATAAAAAGTATTTGATTTTTTAAAATTATTTCTTTTAAATAATTATAAATATATTAAAAATATGAACATTAATAAAAAAATATTTTAAAATTTAAATTTAAATATAATGATTTCAGTTTCTTGTTGAAATTTTCAAAAAAGTCAACAACTTTGGAACGGAGAGAGTAGGTAACATGGGACAATTATTATTAAAACAACAATGATTCATCCCACTAAAAATATCACCACTAATAGCACTAATGTATTAAAAAAGTAAAAAAAAAAAAAAAAAAAAGTAGTTGTAGTTTGTTGTACGTAACCACCAAGTTTGTTTTATTTTATTTTTTTTACTATTATTTTTTAAAAATTTAATATTGTATTGTATGAATTTGTTTGGATAGATTAAATAAGAAAAATTGTAATACAATAAATTATTAATCTTGAGATAAGTAATATTTGGATTATTCAACTGAAGATAATTTATATTTAACTATTAATTCGATTTTTACTTTTTAAATCGAGCGGTAGACTATCAAATTATTAGACATGAACTTCAATTTTATGATTCAATCCCATGAAACAATCACTATTGTAGAGTATTTTTTTTTTAAAAAAAAATTAGTGTTTATTTATTTTTTTAAATCAATGAGAGTAGAATAATGAGAGGAGATAATTTTCTATAGTGAGACTCAAATTTGAATACCACACTCATAACAATGAGATTCAAATTTAAACCTCATGTTTAGTTAAGTTAAGCCCTTAATTTTAAATTTATATCACGTAAAATATGTATATATATATATATATATATTATAATTTGAGAGAATGCATTCTGATTCCATGGTTAAGATAAGTCCACAGCATTGTTATTATCTTTTGTTTTCATTGTCATTACCTATGGTTTTCATATATATGGCCCACTGCAATTGGTTGCCGCGTATTGACCATTTTCACCAATACATCTTCGATTGTGCCTAGTTTGGGTTGTAACTCCAACATGAAACCATAAATAAAAATAATAACAGCAGCCTAGAAAAGGTTAAAAAAACAAAAAAAAAATATTTTTTATTCCAAATTTATTTTAAATATGTACATCAATAGAATAAAATAATTATAAAATTATAAAAAGAACATGGGACCATCACTGTCATACAACTATGATTTTACATATTTCTTAATCACTCAATATAAAATTGTGAGTTTTTTTTTTACTAAATTTGAATTTAATGAAATATCTAATACAACGTTGGAAATGATTTGTGTGATTTTAAGATATATTCAAACTACTTGGTGAGGTTATGAACTTTTTAATGTATTTTATTGTGATAAAAGAAAAACAATAAAATTATTATAAAAAAAATCATGGGAGAAATATTGATAAGTTAATTCAAGGAGGATAGTGTACGTTTTTACTCATTGTTGACTGTATAAACTGTATGGTGTGGTGAGAAGCAGGAGGAAAACCAAGCAGTTTTGATTCTTTAAGTTTTTGTGTACTAACAAAATTCACGACATTAGCATGAAATAAAGTTGAAAAAGTTAAGAAAGGCGGGCATTACTATGCATACATACATACCTGACCAAAAATGGCTTGCGGTACTCTGGTCCGGAGAGCCTCCTCCAGCTCCTTCCCCAGCGGCGCCGCCCCCGACAACACCATCCGAATGGAGCTCAAGTCGAAAGTGACCACCATCGGATTCTTCGCCAACGCCAGAACCAGCGGGGGCACCACCGCCGCCACCGACACTCTGTACCTCTGTATCAGCTCCAGCAACGCCCCTATCTCGAACTTGTGCATCAAAAGCACCCCTGCCCCTGCTCTCAGCGAGCACAACAGCACCGAATTCAACGAGTATATGTGAAACAGGGGAAGCACGCACAACACCATATCTTCCCCTTTCAAATGCAAATTTGGGTTCTCTCCATCCACTTGTTGAGCCACGCTCGATATCAAGCTCTTGTGCGTCAGGATCACACCCTTTGGTAATCCAGTCGTTCCGGAGGAGAATGGAAGAGCTACAGGGTCGTCTGGATCGATCGAGACTGTCGGGATTTCGCTCTCATTAGCCTCCGAAAGTACTGAGAAATGAAGGCAGTTTTCAGGTGGGTCATCGATCGTGATTACACTGAATTCTTCGCCCAGTTTTGGGAAATTATCACCGGCGTCACGGAGTTTGTCGACGTATTGAGATTGGGTAATGATTAGTTTGGATTTGGAAGCATTGAATTGCTTGAAAACTTCGGCGGGAGTGTAGAATGGGTTGGCAGTGGTAGTGACTGCGCCGATCATCGAAGCACCCATGAATGCGAAGACGAATTCGGCGCAGTTTTGGAGGAGAAGCATGATGACATCGCCTTTTTTGATGCCGAGGAGTGATAATCCGGAGGCGACTTTGCGGGAAACGAGGTGGGTTTCGGAGAAAGAGTAGGATTTACCGGTGGAGCCGATGAGGAGACAGGGTCTGTCTGGGAATTGAGAGAGATTTTGGAAGCAGTAAGTGTGGAGGGGTAGGTGGTTGGAGATGGGTATGTCGGGAAGCTTTGATCGGAAAACGTGGGTTTCGGAAGATGAAGACTGTGGGTTCTGCGGCGGAGGAGGAGAGAGCTCCGGTTTTGGGGTTTCAGCAGAAGCCACGGACAACATTGTTACCCTATCTCTTTCAAGCTCTTCTTGCTAATATATATATATATATATGTATATAATTGTTTGTTTATATGGATCAATGGAGGGGGAGAGAGAGAGAGAGACAGACAGAGAGGGGATAGAGAGGGAAGGGAAAGTAAGAAATAAATAAATACAGATAAAAGGGGTGGGAATGGGGATGGGGATGGGGGTTGGTAGGTAGGAATGTGGGGGAAGATGAGAAAGAAGGGGGGTAGCATAGGGAGATGGAGTTGATGAGAGAGAGAATGGAAGAGGAGAGGAGAGCAGAGGAGCACGCCCATCTCGCGTTAAGAACCAACCCTCCTCTCTGTCTCTCTCTCTCAGTCATCAACACCTACCTAACCGTCTAACCAAATTGCCAATGATCTAATTATTAATTAATTATAATAATAATTGTCTCATGAGACCATTTAAAAAAATTAAATGGAAGAACTCAAACTTCCGATTGCCAATATTATACAGAGTGTTTTGAGAAATTAATTAAAAATTAATTTTTTATTTTTATTTTTTTATTATTGTATCTTTTTGCGAATAAAAAAACTAAAATTTAACTTTTAACTAGATTATCAAAACAACCCATAGTCTGTCCCTTGTAAGTTCTAACATCAAACATGTAAACAGCCTTGATTTACTGAGTTTTCAAATTTTGTTTTATATTATAATTTTGATATAAAAAATTCAATAATTTAAAAATACTCATCATTTTTATATTTGGTTATGAATATAAATTTTGAATAAAATAAATAATTCATTAATTAAAATGTTTTATTCTCACTTTTTGACTAAAAAAAATTAAAAATATATTTTGTAAATATAACTATTATATTATTAAAAAAATTATCATTTCATAAAAAAATTTAAAATTGCAATTATATATATTTTTGAAAAAATAATAATAATTATATTTCATTTCATTTCATTTCATTTCATTAAATTAAATTAAACATTATTTTATTTAAAGCTTACTTGGAATGACATATTGGCAGGTTGAGCTATGAGATGCTCTCTCAGCCAAGCATGAGGGGCGTGAGTTTCCACTTGCATTGCTGGATTTGATTTTCTCCCATGTCTTGGGCGTTCTCACACATTTTCTTTCTTTCCAAACGCAAATTCTGTCTGGATAGAACTTTTTTTTAAAAAAAATTGAAAATATGATGTACACGTTTACATCCTAAACTCATTTTTTAAATTCAATGATATGTAATTAATATAATCAATTAATAATTAAAGAAGATATAAGCGAAAGTATTGCCTTTAATATCTTAATTAATTGTCACGTCATTAGGGTTGAAACGTGAGTCTAATTTTTTATTTGAGTAAATTACAAATACATTCCCTGAGATTTGATTAAAATACGAATCGCCTCCTATGGTTCTAAAAATTATATTCCACCATTTGAGATTTCTAATTTCATAACAAATCATTTATCTTATTAATAAATCATTAAGTCAATTAGCAGTCTTTAATAATGTTAGAAATATATTTTAATTAATAATTTAGGTAATTTTATTATTGTATAAGAGAGTAATTATAAATTTTATTTTTTAGTTAATTTTGTTAAATAAAAAATTCTAATAAGGAGTATTTGTAATTTTTCAAATTATAAGGGACAATTTGTATTTTAAGCAAATCTCAAGGGTGTATTTTTAATTTATCCTTTTTGTTTTGAATAGCAATGCTTTAAATTTAATATAAACTTGACACAACTGTTGAATTCATGAGGTCTACTATGAGTCTTCTTTCGATTATCTAAATCGTTTATATTGTATGACTCTCCATATCTCTAATCTATGAAAAAATCTAAATCGATATAATAATTGTAATTTTATCATTTAATCATATTTGTGCCAAAAAAAATTAATAATCTATTTTTAAAAATACATTTATCATCAATTTCTTTGAATCTTAAATTTGTCAAGTAAAACGAAAATGAATCAAGAGTTTCTATGATTAAGTTATTAAATTAATTATAAAGTAGTTACAATTGGTCTATGTGAGATTAATATTTTAACATTTTACAAAACATGAAGAGGATAACAAACCATTTTATGTCGATGATATTGACTAAAAAAACAAACAGCTATGTTACATCCCTTAGGTCTATTTAGGTACTTAAGAAAAAAGTTAATTTTTTGAGTTTTTTTGATTTTTTTGAAAAGATATGCAAAAGAAAAATAAAATTAGAAAGGTAATCTGAGTCAAATAAACCCAATAAATTGGCTTTTTTCTAGTTGCCAAAGTAGCCTCCGTTTGAGAAGTGGGTTGACTTTTTGACTTTTTTGACTATTTGAGCCTGGACTCAAAAGTTTGGTTTGGGAAAGACTTTTTAGCTTTTTGATTTTTTTTACTTTTTTTGTGAGAGAAAAGTATAATGATTATGGGTTGGATGTGATGTTTTGTCTGTTGTGGCTCAAATAGCCTATTTTGTCTTTTGTGGCTCAAAGAGCCAAAAGAGCCCAAATGAGCCCTTCCCAAACGACACCTAACCATTTTAACTCCTAATTAGGTGGAAGACAGAGAACAGAGAGAGATAGATGGAGGAATGATGAGAAGTGTAAGCCCACTCTTTTGCATGGTTCATTCCATGTCAGTAGAGGTGAATTGAGGGTACTCGATTAATTCTCACAAATATTTTTCAAAAAAAAACAAACAAATTAAATTACTTGTACACATTCTTTTTTATATGGGCAACTAAAATCCTAAATTCTAAAATAAACTTTTGAGCATTACTATTCAATACTAAAAATTAGACTCAATTTTTAAACCAATTGATATGACCATCAAGTAAGATATTAAATGCAGTACTCTCTTCCATGTATTATATAATTGTTAACGAATCAAATCACCTACATATCATTAAATTTAGAAAATGAATTTAAAAAGTAGATTTATATATAATTTTCATAAATTCTTAACACTCTCATAAATTTTTTAGCATCTTTTACTTTCTTACAATTTTCTTTCATTCTTCTATCCATTTACAAATCTCAGGTCGAAAGGAAAAAGAGAAATTGAACCTTAACATATAATGAGAAATGTTAAAAAAATTTAAGATATAATTCTTAAATTCATTTTTAATAATATGGCAAAGGTTGGATCTTAGATATTAATTGATTTTCAAATCAATAAATAACTAATACGGAATAATTCACATAATTATAATTAAAAAAATACTTGAGACACTTAATTTATCACTCCTAATAATGTGTCTGACAAATGTCAATTTTTAATTTGTCAAATATTACATCATGTGGAGTCTAATCTTAATGCCACACCATTAAGGGTGGTAAATTAAGAGATGTAGCATTGTTATAATTATAAATAAATTTACGAGTTATATTTTAAAGCAAAAATGCTAGAAACCTCCCAAAATTATTAAGTATTGTGTATAAATTTTAGTAATTTTTTGGGTCCCTAACATTACTCATTATTCAATAGTTGTAAAGCACAATTGATTACATAATATTCAAAATTAATTGCGCGATGTTGACTCACATTTGTTATATAATTGAGACAAATGATATCTATTACCAAAAAATAAAGAGATAAATGATGTCTAATTTAGCATGGGTTGTGATTTCTTATTTCTCAAGAGTACCGTAAATAATCTCATATAATATTTAAAATTTAAATAATATTCATCTTGGAGAAGGCTCATATGCCTCTATTATTTAGGTCCCTTTGACAAGTATACTTTTAGTCAAAAAGTAAGAAAATCTACTAAAATTGTCTTTAAAAAAAATTTAACTCATAAAAAAATTAAAAATTCTCAAAGTAAAAGGTTCTTTCTATTTACACAATTTGTGCACTTTTTTCGTAAAAAATAGTGTAAGTCTATTAATGTGTTTGGTGTAAATCAAAATTACATAAATAAAAGCCTTACAATTCTCAAAGATTTAGTGTGTTTCAAAATTCTCTAAGGTTTACTGCGCTTCATCTTTAGTGCAGTTACTCTATGACTATCCCACTGATTTACAATTTTCTCATATTTTAATCAAAAAAAAAAAAAAATTAAAAATCACTAAAATAGAGTCACCTTCGAAAACCAACCGTTTGAGAACCTTAGCTGGAAAATGCCATATTCTCTATAAAATAATGTTTAACCAGATTTTAAGCATTGCATTGAAGAAGATCAAGATGTAAACACTTTAATATGAGTTTCTCTCTCATGAATTGGAGTTGCTTCTCATACAATACCATAAATAACTTGTTTATTGATTTATTAGCTTATTTAAGCCACATTATCTTACTTTTTTGCACAATTTTTATTTTTATTTTTTTTATAATAAGTAAAAAAGTCAACTTGTAAATCATACCCAAAACAACCCAAGTCTGTAAATTTTTTTTTTTTTTACAAACTTTTTTTTTTTATATTTTTTTTACAAACTTTTTAATGTGACTAAATTGATGCGAGTAACAAAATTATAAGTAGTTCACCAAATAGCTCTAACGTGTACCGATTCATAAATGAGTGAGTAATGAAATATTCACAGTTGAGGAAGTCTTGCAGTAATTAATTTTAAATTACAACAATGATTCATCCCCCTTTTTCTCCCACCCCCTTTGACCCCCTCTCTCTCTCATTGGTTACTTTTTTTTTTCTTTTTCTTTTTTTTCCTGCTCCTCCAATCACCACCCACCACGTGGCAAAGGGGTGAGGGGGTGACCCCCAAAAGGGGGTCCCAAGCATTATTCTTTAAATTAATTAAATTTATAATAAATAAAGAAAACAAATGCTTGACACATATCACCACAATAAAGTGGCTAACAAGATCTCGGGGGGGTGTTGGTTGGCAAAATGCATACATAGACACATACAGCATATACAACCACCGTTCCAAAATGCATCTTGTTTTGCTTGTTCTTTTTTTCTTTTTCTTTTTCTTTATTTTTTTGGGTAAGGAACGGGTCCAAGCCAAAAAAGAAAGATCACAGCCTAACAATCCTGGAGGAATTGACCCCCTGTCTATCATTCTCAATAACTTGTGCCAATCTAGACGATGTATTCTGTGTTTGTTCTTCTTTTCTTTATTGTTCTTTGAACTTTCCGAAGCACCGAAAAAAAAAAAGTGAATTGGATCTCAAAACGGATCTTCGTTTTTTTCCCTTCTCCTTCGGTTTGGGTTTGAGTCATATATAATTGGCAGCAATGATAAAATATAAAAATCAAACATAGAATGAGATACAGATATCTCATAAGGAGTGAAGTCTAAACATAGAATGAGATATAAACACCCCCAAAAGGGATTAAGTTTCTCACGGATGTGCTGTAAATACCAATTTTATGGACACCCTATCAAGTATTGACACGTCATGTACAATAAAGAAATAGTGAGATAGTTTATTTCATACTATAGAGAGAGAGAGAGAGAGAGAGAGAGAGTTGGAGTTTTTAAATAATATAAAATAAATTATAATGAATTGAATAGGGTTGAACCCACTTTCAAAAGCTGCGCAAAAAGCCGTTCGTCTTCTCCGACTATCAAAACTTAGACCTCAACTCCATCTTGTCCAGCAACAAAAATTTGAGACCATCAAACGTGCATATAATCTAGTGAGTTGTTTGATTATCTCAGTTCTTCTCCTTTTCTATTTTTTGAAACAATTTTCCAAATCGTCATATAAATTCATCATTCTATGTCTGGAACAATTTTGATTGGGTCGTGGGTTTGGGAAGAGCAAAGGATGAACCATCATTCACCATTAACTGAATGATCATCTCAATATCATTTTGCATATTGGATTACAAAATTACTCTCAGCCTCTGTTTTGGTTTTTTTTCCTTTTCTTTATTTTATTGTTTTTAGATTAAAGATTGGAGGGGTGATAGAAAAAGCAAAAGTGAAAGATGAGAATCAAATATACTTTGAAAAAAAAAAAAAATGCTATGAACTCACCCTTAAGAACCTATAATTTACCTTAAATTAAATGTGTTTGTGTAGTGGAGATTAAGTTGATAAATTACGGGGTCTATGGGTAAAATGAATTTAAACCATTGATTTATTTTTCTGAGTAAATTCTGGATTGATAAGTGTGGATTTGTAATGTTGTTGTTTAAAAATTGAAAATAAAATAGTTTTTATTTATTTATTAGAAATTGAAAATAAGAAAGGTTGATCAAATTTATTTTTTTGAATGTGATCAAGGTTATACCGTACATTATTGGTGAATGATGATTTCATTTGTTGGTGAATGATGATTTCATTTGTGATGTATGTTCATTATTTTTTTGAATGTGAATGATGATTTCATTTGTTCATTACTTTCTTTTATATTATTTTTTAACTAGTACATAAATTTGAATACTGTTAATTTTGTATTATAGATTTGATATGACAAGCACATCAAGTGAAGGGATTGATATCCTATTTTCTAGTAATTGTTTAGAAGAAGAATATTTTGTGGATTTAGAATTAGGGGGTGATTTGAACAATGCAAATTTGTTAGAAAATCAAAACACCAACCTGTCACGATTCAAACCCGCCCCTATAAGTTTGGCGTCATAACCGGCTAGTAATTCGAGATTACCAAAGGCCTTCCTATACAATCAAAATAATCGAGGCTAGCAGAAGCAATATACAAAAATACCAATATTCCAATGAGCTGTGCATTTATATGAACAAACGTGTACATACATAATCGTTAATTACCCACATACATATACCTATCTTATAACATAATTTATCATACAAAACATATGCATGTGTCGAAAATGTACATCATGATCAAAAGTTTGACAACGACCTTCCAGGCCTAGCCCCAACTTGGAGGGACTCAAAACACTCTAGAATGTTCATCTATACCTATACAAAAAAAAAGGGAAAAAAAACAGTGAGTTAAACCCAGTAAATAGCATTAAAGTAAAAGGGTTAGTGAGCGAATTCCAAGTATAACGTATCCGTAAAACAAATCATGACACAATCATTCATATCAGTCTTATATCAGAACGTAATATAATGGTACATCCAAAGGAATATTTCGTAATGTCTTTCGACTAGAGTAATCAGTCCCAGATACCGATTAAACACATATCACCACAATAAAGTGGCTAACAAGATCTCGTAATCACATGTATATCAGGGATCTGCACTAACGTGCCGTCCCCCATGACTTGGGACTATGCTTGGATGCCATATTAGATTCACAAACCGGATATTCGTTCACAGAATCAAAATTACATTTCTGAAACATATCATATCATATAGCATATCGTATAACATTTCAAGTATAGTGCATATCAATATATCTTTACAGAAATGTTACTTATAGTGGGCGTCCGATAATGATTGCACGATCCCCGACTCATGACCTACAAGCACAATGCACATAACACAACCTATGTCTTATCAATACATTTACAACTCGTACAGTTGGTTGCTAACTTATTCAGTTCATCATCTACTTGTTCATTCAATTATCTATCATTAACTTCCTCCATGCCCAAGAAATATGAATGCACATGAAAAACACGTCAAAACCATGCAAACGGAGGCCCAGAAAGGAGGAAAACGGAAAGAAAACAATTCTGAAACCACCCTGAAAAATCAAACGTGCGGGAGTCCTGACCGTACGTGCGGAAATGCCACCGCACGTGCGCCCGCACATGCAATTTTTGCATAATGAAACCTCACTTTTGCCCTGTTTTCCACACATGTGGGGCCTCAGGCTGCATGTGCGGTTCTGGGTAGCTTTGAGTCCGAAAATTTGTGTTTGAAGGACCTAAAATTCATAACTTTAAAACAAATCCCATTTCCAATTAAACAACAAAAAATCAGAAATTAAATGTCAAAACTCAAACATGTAATTAAAAGCTTCAACTCAAGCTTTCATGAAAGAATTTCTTTCAAATCTTAGAAGCCATGAAAGAAAGCAAGTTTATGAACATAAATTACATGATTTGACGTCATACATGGTGAATATATGAGCTAATTTCCACAAATCTAACAATACATGTTCATATATGCTTTCTCCTTCACTGTACCCCATGAACACTCTCAATGAAACATGAATCCCCCTTAATGCAACTTAAATTCCATAGATTAATGAGCATATCACTTCAAACTCATGAAATTAGAGAAAGATCCTTACCTTTGTTGGTTGGTTGATTTGGCCCTAATCCCTTTTCTCTTGTTCTTTCTCTTCTTCTCTTAGCCTCTAGAAGTTTTTTTTTCTCTCTCTCTCTCTCTCTCCCTCTCTCTCTCTCACAGATATTTTTTCTTCTCTTTGTTGAGTCTACGCAATGTATATGTATATATATACACTACGTCATATGTATCTATTTAGGCCAACCAAACATAACTTAATGAATCAGACGGAATCAATTTTCAATTAAGCTTCCCAAATGGCTCTAAAAATTCTCATTAGTCAAACTATGTGCTCAATTTCGGTTTCTGAACCTATTAAGGTCGTCAATATCAGTTCTGAAGTCGTAGCTCCAATAGATATTATTCTAATTCAAACAAATATTCTCAAATTAATTCATATTAACGCATAATTAAATAAAGATAATTGTGACACACATTTTGGGGCCATTACAGTCTCCCCACCTTAGGAAGTTTGGTCCTCCAAACTTATCTTACATTGTAACAAGATCAGAAGCCTCAGTCTCATATAATTTTTTAACTCAGTCACATATGGTCAATGCAATTCAAAGATCCATTTCAATCATTCAAAATTCGAAATCAACTCCATATCTCATATCAGTGAAGGTAGTAGCAGTCAAGCACATAAACATTTCTCGCAAGATCAATTGTAAGATAAGGTAAGACTGCAGTAATCAATCGGAGAATGTATACAAGTAATATATTTCCCAGTAGGCAAGGTTTATAATCACAATGGTTTCCTATCAACGAGTTCCATAGGATCAATTTCCAAGTATAGTAATACGGTAACAGTTATTCTTTTAAGCACATAATTCATATATTCACATAGCATAGGTCATTTTCCAATTACAGTAGCACAAAAGCAACCATTTTCTAAACGACCAAATCCCATGATAGTAAAAGTAGTATCCAAGCAATTCTCAAGCAATCATTCTTTAACAATACATGCAGTCCCCAATCAGTCGAAGATAAAAAGGAAACAAGTTTTCGGTTTACCACCCCATTAGCAAAGAAAACACGGTCATTCGTCCAATAACAATTCATAGTCCCCATAAACAAAAGCAAATCAAATAAAGGTTCCATTTCAAACACAGTGTCGTTCCAAAGATCACAATCAATTCATTAGATAGACATTCAACTGTTCTAAAATACGTCCCATATGTGAATATACAAACTCACAGTTATGCATAATATCAAGTTTATTGTCCGAGGTAATCAAACGGGTTCCGTCGCCACAAAATCATGGTCTTGAGACGCTAATTCAAAGGGTCACATATCATAACAAATCATTCCGAGGAAAGACACACACACATATGAGCCCAGATTCAATTATCACGTAAGTATTTGGTTGTAAATTTGTAAGTAGTAGGGTTGAATAATAAACATTCGTTCTCCCATAATCAGCATAGGTTTCCAATCTTGAAAGTTCTATACGTTGAATAATTCAAGATATATCATGCAAGGCCATAGTTCTAATTATGCAGTGAGTTTCCAACTGTATATCCAATCAAAGAACATATAATTTCACACTAGTATTCACATAAACAATCTGCACATGATTAAGATAATTTATGCATCAACTGTCTCATTATGTTGGGTCTTTTCTGCAACTAGGGTATAAACTCTTCCCTACCTAAGATTACTTCTCTCCACAGTAGTAGTTGCATTTGTTCTTGGTGTCATTGTTGAACTAATCCCACTGGTAAACGGTCTTTCATTGCTTGGGTGGGCTTGTGAACAAGATTTGGCTAGTGTTCTTTTTGTCCACATCTAAAGCAAGCTCCAGAAAGGCGACGACAAATGCCTCAATGTTGCTTCCCACATTCTCTATAGGTGGGTATGTCATTGTTTCCACTACTTCTTCGTCTTGTGTTGCCACTAGTTCTTGAATTTGATTTCTCATTCACGGAGGCCATTGATTTACTAACCATTTCCATTTTCTGTTTCTTTAATTTCTTACATTCTCCTTCGGTTGTTGCTATTGGCTTAGACATTTTCGAGGCAGCAATATTTGCTTCGAACATCAAGGATCTATCAAGTAAGTCCACATACTTTACCAATTTCAAAACATTTACCTGGTCAAACACTTCGACATCCAATCCGCCCTCAAATCTCCTTGCCTTTTTGTAGTCAGTGTTAACCATATGAGGTGCATATCGGGCTAATTCAATAAATTTTGCTTCATATTCTGCCACAGTCATGTCACCTTGTTTTAGTTGTTCAAATACAGATACCTTCCTTTCTCGGATGCATTGCGGGAAGTACTTTTCGTAGAAAATTTCTTTGAATCGATCCCATGTTAAATCTCCATTCTCATCCCGGACGAGCATCCACCATCTCCTAGCTTCTTCTTTCAAGGTAAAGGTTGCCAACCAAACTATATGTGTTTCGGTACACGGAAATACTTCAAAGATCTTTTCAGTTTCTAGTATCCAAGCCTTTGCTTTTAATGGTTCAATACCCCTCAAAAATTCTAGTGGCTTCATTTTCTTGTATTTCTGTGTAAGAGCAATGATATCATCTGTATTTGGCTCACTTGAACCGGAGGTGACGGATGAGGTACGGGTAGTTGTCTTTGCTCTTGTTGTTGTCTCACTAGTTCAGTTAAAACCTCTACCATTCTTTCTAACCATTCTATTCTAGCAGTAGAAGATTCTGTCTCATCTACATTTCTTGCGTTCTCCATTGGTCTATATAAGTAAGGGTAATAATAAACATGGGAGCTTTCATGTTCACATAAGGCACTTATGCTATATCAAAATCAAAGTTGCATGTGAATCCACATAATTCCACATTCTCATAGAGGTTATCCACTTTTATGTATCGAAATCAAATTATATCCCATTTCTTTGCTTACAATATTACATAGTCACATACTTACTTGCTTAGTCATGTTGGAATAGTAATCATGTTCATTAAAATCAAACTTGCATGTTCATTCACTTAATTCTTTTATTCATGCACATGGTATTCATTTTCAATTCCTTATCACACATGTACAAAAAAATGCACACATACCCACACATGACAATGCAATGTCCCTATGTCTTTTCTTCATGTAGCTCAATTGGACACATGTGTGGGTAAATTAACTTGTGCTCTGATACCATTCTGTTACGACCCAAACTCGTCCCTATAAATTTGGTGTTATAACCGGCTAGTAATCTGAGATTACCAAAGGCCTTCCTGTACAATCAAAATAATTTGGGCTAGCGGAAGCAATATACAAAAATACCAATAGTCTAATGAGCTACGCATTTATATGAATAAACATGTACATACATAATCGTTAATTACCCATATACATATAACTATCTTACAACATAATTTATCATGCAAAACATATGCACGTGCTGAAAATGTATATCATGATCAAAAGCTTGATAACAGCCTTCCAGGCCTAGCCCTAACTTGGAGGCACTCAAAACAACTTGATAGGTGTAGACACCCCATTTTTGACCGTCCTCAAGACTTAGACGTCACCGTTTGAACACCCGGTGATCATCCATGATTGTGTTCGTTTGGAGTTCCCGGAGGCCTCGGCTACACGCTTTGCCTCAGGATCTCCGGACTCGACTCTGTAGTGTCTGGTTTTGCACCAAACACTTGTGCTTTTGCCTTGGAGAGAGGAGAATGGCCTGTTGGCCATCCTCACTTTCCACCGGCCTTCCCCTAGCATCACCGGCTGTGTAGGGGTTCCACCGGCCATGGTTTCTTAAAATCAATGGCCGGTCGGCACAATATACTGCCGACCGGCACCTTTTTTTGCCGGTGACATCTTCTCGGCTAAAGATCCCTTCTAGACTTGCCCTCCAGAGCGCTCATCTATACCTATAAATAAAAAAACAGTAAGTAAAAACCCAGTGAATAACATTAAAGTAAAAGAGTTAGTGAACGAATTCCAAGTATAACGTATCCGTAAAACAAATCATGACACAATCATTCATATCAGTCTCATATCAGAACGTAACATAATGGTACATTCAAAGGAACATTTTGTAACGTCTACATATCACCACAATGAAGTAGCTAACGAGATCTCGTAATCACATGTATGTCATGGATTCGCACTAATGTGTTGTCCCCCATGACTTAGGACTATCCTTGGATGCCATACTAGATTCACAAATCGAATATTCATTCACAGAATCAAAATCACATTTCTGAAACATATCATATCATATAGCATATCGTATAACATTTCAAGTATAGTGTATGTCAATATATCTTTACAAAAATGTTACTCACAGTAGGCGTTCGGTAATGATTGCACAGTCCCCGACTTGTAACCTACAAGCACAATGCACATAACACAACCTATATCTTATCAGTACATTTACAACTCATACAGTTGGTTGCTAACTTATTCTGTTCATCATCTACTTGTTCATTCAAATATCTATCATTAACTTTCTTCATGCCCAAGAAATGTGAATGCACATGAAAAACACGTCAAAACCATGCAAACAGAGGCCTGGAAGAGAGGAAAACGGATAGAAAAAAATTTCGGAACCACTTTGAAAAACCGCACATGCCGGAGTCCTGGCTGCACATGCGAAAATGCCACAGCACGTGCATCTGCACGTGCAATTTTTGCAAAATAAAACCTCACTTTTTCCTTGTTTTTCGCACATGCAGGGCCCTAGGCCGCAAGTGTAGTTCTAGGTAGCTTTGAGTCTGAAAATCTGTGTTTGAAGGACCTAAAATTCATAACTTTAAAACAAATCCCATTTCCAATTAAACAATTAAAAATTAGAAATTAAATGTCAAAACTCAAACATGTAATTAAAAGCTTCAACTCAAGCTTTCATGGAAGAATTTCTTTCAAATCTTAGAAGCCATGCAAGAAAACAAGTTTATGAACATGAATTACATGATTTAATGTCATACATGGTGAATATATGAGCTAATTTCCACAAATCTAACAATACATGTTCATACATGCATTCTCCTTCACTTTACCCCATAAACACTCTCAATGAAACATGAATTTCCCCTAATGCAACTTAAATTCCATAGATTGATGAGTATATCATTTCAAACTCATGAAATTAGAGAAAGATCCTTACGTTTGTTAGTTGATTTGGCCCTAATCCATTTTCTCTTCTTCTCTCAGTCTCTAGAAGTTTCTCTCTCTCTCTCTCTCTCAGATATTTCTTATTCTCTTTGTTGAGTCTAAGCAATGTATATGTATCTATTTAGGCCAACCAAACATAACTTAACGAATTAGTCGGAATCAATTTTCAATTAAACTTTTCAAATGGCTCTAAAAATTTCCAGTAGTCTAACCATGTGCGCAATTTCGATTTCTGAACCCATTAAGGTCGTCAATGTTAGTTTTGAAGTCGTCGCTCTAATAAATATTATTCTAATTCAGACAGATATTCTCAAATTAATTCATATTAACGCATAATTAAATAAAGATAATTATGACACGAATTTTGGGGCCGTTACACCAACCTATCAAGTCTTCTTTATGTAACAATCCTTTAGAGCCATGTGAAGGCATGATTTTTGATGAACTAGAAGATGCCATGACTTGTTATAATGCATATACAAGGAGAAAAGGTTTTGACATTTGAAAAAACCACACTCGACTATCTAGTAAAGATAAGTCATTGATTGGAGAAGAATTTGCTTGCACGAGAGATGGATACCGTCAACCAAGTTACTAAAAGAAAAATAAGAATGTCACAACTCGTCCTATGACCATGATTGGATGTAAAGCAATGATGTGTTTGAGAAAAGACAAAGGAAAATGGGTTGTAAGTAAATTTGTAACTGAACATAATCATGATTTGTGCTTTTCGAAAAGTACACTTCTACTTCGAGGACATAGAAAAATGACTCTTGTTCAGAAAAATCTCATTGATATGTTTAATGACGCTAGTGTACCCATTAGAAAGATAACGCCAGTGTTGAGTCAAGAATCTAGTAATGATTGTAATGGTGGTTGTGTTACAATGAATATTCAAAATTATTTGGGAAGTAAAAGAAGAAAACTTCTAAAAGATAGAGATGCACAGAGAATGTACAATTACTTTATAAAGAGTCAATCAGAGAACCCATACTTTATTTACGCAATTCAAGTGGATAAAAATCATTGCATGGGAAATTGTTTTTGGGCCGACGCAAGGTCAAGGTTAGCTTACCAACACTTCGGGGATGCAGTCACATTTGATGCTACATACTTAACTAATCGCTATGGTATGTCCTTTGTTCCTTTTGTAGGTGTTAACCACCACTACCAATCAATTATGTTTGGATGTGCTTTACTTGTAAATGAGACGGCAGAGTCTTACTTATGGTTGTTAAAAACTTGGCTTGAAACAATGGGTGGGCATAATCCTACTATTATTATTACTAATGATGACAAAGCGATGGCTAAGGCAATTTCATATGTATTGCCTAATAGTATTCACCATTTGTGCACGTGGCATATCTTACAAAACGTTCCTGAACATTTGGCTCATCTTTATAACAAGTATTCCTCATTTCAAGGAGAATTTCACCATTGCATTCATGACACGGTCACAATAGAAGAGTTTGAAAATGAATAGGATGAATTGGTTTGCAAATATGAGTTAAGGGAAAATGAATGGTTGAAATACTTGTACATGCGGCGTGAAAAATGGGTACTAGCTTATTTGAGAACAGTGTTTTGTGCCGAGGTCAACAACACAAAGAAGCGAGAGCATGAACAAAATTTTCAAAGATTTTGTCAATTCTAGTACATTGGTTAGTGACTTTGTCCATCAATGTGAGAAACCATTGGATAGAAGATACAAGAAGGAGAAAGAAAAAGATGTTAAAACAAGAACAACCAAAGCAATTTTAAAGACATGTTACAAAATAGAGGTAGAGGCCGGAGAAGTGTACACAAGGAAAATATTTTTGTTGTTTCAAAAGGAACCATTTTCAAGTCAAAAACACAAAGCATCTAAATATCTTGAGAAATGAACAATGAAAACTTAAGGTAATGACAAATGGGAAAGAAAAACAAATCTATGAAGTAGTATTTGATGGTGTTGAAAAGAAAGCTACTTGTTCATGTCATATGTTTGAATTTGTTGGAATTTTTAGCAGACACATTCTTACTGTCTTTGTTAAAAAATCTCTTGTTGATTATCTCCCCAAACAATATGTTCTTTGAAGATGGACAATAAATGTGAAGGATCATGCTGTAGGACAATCTTCACTGTATTACGAATAAATAATGTTTGTGTACTTAACAACAAACAGAAGAAATAAAGGAAAGGACAGAGATTTTTTGATTATAAAAATCAAACCAACAAATAAAAATAAATAAACAAAAACAAATTTTTATTTTGTTACAAAAACAAAATCAAAATCTGATATAAATAAATAATAAACAGAAAATAAATTAACAACTTACTTTATTAATTTCTCGAATAAAGTTTTGATCAAGTCTAGTGTTTAACACTGTATCCTTAAGACAGATTTGTCCTCTCCACGGTGCTTTCAG